AAAATTCTTATTGCATCCAGTTGAGTTATCAGTTCCCTGAATAAGGTTAATACAAGTAAATTTGTAAAAATCTGATTGATTGATTAAACGAATATTATTATTTATATTTAGTTATTCGATAATACTTTTGTAAGACTGCAAGTATCAAAAAGTCAAGTTATACCCTACCAGATTTGAAGCTCAAAGTCAGTGTTCATTAGCCAACTGCGCAAAGCTGTGCTTGACTTCTGTTGTTTTAACTTCAGCAAACTATCAAGAAACTATTGAACCAACCTCATATATATAAAATTATTTAAATTTAAAACATTCAAATAATGGCAAAATTATTGTCTCAGTTTAGCTCATTCAATATGTGTCACTTCTCTATAAAAAGCAAAAGAACTCGACTCCAATAAATAACTATAAATAAGGGAATCAAAATCTGAGAAATGATTGTTGCTAAGATATTTATTTTCATTTTGATTTCTCGATATATCTTAACTAAAGCGTTTTGTTTGTTTTAAAGAAATCTTTCAATTAACGAATAACTTCGCATCCGGCTTATTAATCAGCATTCAGTTCATTATTCATGATTAAATCCGTCAATGTGCATTCATTTGTCACTCAACAACAAAGCAGACAACTCCAGAGGCAGTTTTTGTTGGAATTGTGAGTTTCCTTATAATTTTAACAACGTTTCTCACTTTGAATGGAACTATTTTGTTAATATTTATATTTTGTCGTTTGCGCTTTACACCATTAATTCCATTTCCTTAATAGAATAATACCACCTGCTCACTATTCTGAACGTCAACTTTAATGCTAAACGGAAATGTAATGACGAGAGGCGACGAAAACTGTCGTGTGACAGACACAACATTGCCTTTGCTGTTGTGTTTAGTTGTCAGTGTAGCCACTCTTAAGTATTGCCTTACACCCACCTCACTGTCATTCCAAATGTCCTTTACTCGTATTTATGTTGTATGCAGCCATATTTCTATTTTATTTTGTTGTTGTGGTAGTGCTTTTGGTTTTTATCATTTCAAATAAAATTATCAAATTGTAGGATTTTCTGTTTCTGTACATTAAAATCGGTCTATTAAGTTTGTCACATGTTTTTGTTTGACACATAATAATTGAATTATATATTATTATTAAGTAAATAATACATTTGATAAACTAAAAGAATTCTGAATTTATGATCCTGGATGCCAATGCGGTTTTTGGCAAACTGAATAGGTACCAATTGCAGCTTATCCTACAACTCACTTCATTGTTTAACTTAAACACACTAAATACTTTAATAGTAGATACCAATGACAACTAAAGGTTGTAGTAGTAAGTAAATAGTTTCAGGTGATAGGTCTACTGCGCCCAAGTTCGGTGCTGGGATTATCAGCTGAGCTTTCGAACCTGCCTTAATGTTGGTGTTCATGAATTGGAGCGTTTCCTCTCCAAAAAGTGTTCAGCGCTTTGTCTGCGACAAGAAATACGCTACTATTAGGTTAAGTTGGCAATAGGAAAGGCTAGGCTATGTATTCGCTTCACTCTCACATAAAGGGGACACAATTTTACTCTCTACATCCTTTTGTGGCTCTTTGATTTTCATAGTTTTTACATGATTTTATACTGCACCATAAATTTAACAATTTCGATTGATTAATCACAATTTTTCTTTTAAAGAGATTTCTTATTTCCAATCTGTGGCTTATAATGTATATAATTTAAAAAATAAACATTTTAAATTTTATAGTGCATCATTATTACGCCAATTGCAGAATTAGAAATATGTTAAATATTCTAATTTCTTTTTAAATTAAATTACGATCTCATTTAAGATTCTTATTTTATATTTTTCCAATCTTTAACATTATATATATGTTTTATAAAATAAACATTTCAAATTTTATCTTACTTTTCAAGTTTAAAATGTTAATTAAATTATTTTCGCTGTTATCGGTGACCTCTTTCATACCTGTTCTCCAATATAAATAATGAAATTCTTCTATTAATAGCGCACTCTTTAAGTCAACATTACTAACCTTTTTTCTTTCTGTTGACTTGTTTCCATTCAGCCACAGATTCATTACCAAGAGATCTTTTTCTTTGCATTAATTAAAGTAGTTAAGCCGATTTGATAATTATTAATTATTTTTTTCTTCACTTTGTCCCACTTAATTTTTGTTTATTATTTTCTTATTACAATTCCAAAAATTTCTTAAATCACATTAAATACAAATAAACAGCTTGGCTTTGGTTGTCTATACAAATAATATCACTGAAGTATTATCATTTTTGGTATTGATATAGAATTTGATATTGTTTTGATTACTTTTACTTCTACTGAGA